TCATTACTTGCGGACTGATCCAACACCTTTTAGACATTTTGTGCCTTTCCTCATTACGTTCCACAACACTTGAGATGTTCCCGTTTTCATGGCAGCTAAGCATGGCCCAGCCCAGAGAAAAGCTGTTTTTCTAGTGGCCACGGGTGATGTTTGCACATCAGCCATGGACACTGGGCTCCAGCTGTGCTGAGTTAGGACCTGTGCCTGCTCATAACCGAGCCTGGGTAGCACTTGAGCATCTCTCTAATAGCCCCCCTCAAGCAATCTTATTTATTTTAGCTGAACCACTGCATTGCTAGCTCTTTGCTTTCTTTCCAAGGGTTGTTGATTAACATGAGGTGTCAATAAGAGTTTTCTCTGCAGGAGTTTTTTTCCCTGCCAGTTGCTTCCTCTGCATTCAATTTGGTTCGGCTGTTTGCCATCAACACAACTGTTAGGCATAATGGGACTACAAAAATAACTGGTTGCCTTTATACAGATTGCCCATTGCTTGCAAAAGGTACCCTGGAAAAGTTTACCAGTGCTCACTATGAGATCAAGAATTTAGAAATATATGTGACAGTGGGGAGGGGAAAAAAAAAAGCAGATTAACACATTTATAATGTTTAGTTGAATGTGGCTGGCAAATTGTCACTGCTTTCTGAAGATATCATGCTGAAACAATAGGATATTTGAGGCCCAAAAGCACAGAAAACGGACAGAAGAGCTTCCTGGTCTGCACTAAGAGATGTGCTTCCAACCTGGAAAGTATATAGAACACCTTCAGAGGATAAGTGAAGGCATCGTTCTCTGCAACTTTTCAGCCTTTTGACCTCTTCAGACTACCTGATGATATTAATTACAACGACAGATTAATTTTTGTGGTAATTATTCACTAAGAACTGGAACAATGTAGGCGATTAATTTTCTCTGAGCCATCTAATGGGCTCTAGGTGGTAGGAACTGTTTGTTCCTGCCGAAGTGGGGTGGTTTGGGATCTGGAAGTGAAAGGCTCTGCAAACCCATTCCTAATCATGAATCACCTAAATCTTCCCGCACTCGTGCTTTATGCCGTAGCCCTACACATGACTCGAGGTGGTCACGAACCGACCCTTCATGTTCTGACTGCCTCCAGGCTTGGGGGGGGGGCGGTTTAAAAGAGCACTTGAAGGCTTACCTCCATCTCTGGTGGTGACCCCTGTAAGTGGCACCTGTCCAGAGGTTTGCTTTGGTCCTCTACGGTTGTTTCAAGGGAGGGACAGAGTTTGCAATTTCTGTTGTCATTCTGAGTATTAGAGAACTAAAACCAAAACTTCATGGGATTACCCATGGCCTTTTTCTTTCAATTTTTTCATCCAGCCTCTTTTGTACCGTTCTGCCTTAGCATGACTGCTAAGGCTTCAGTGGCTTTGAGAGGCTTTACAGAAAGTTATTTTGCCTGCACATTTATACCATGTGGGCGTTTCATAAGGCCCAGCAAAATGACCGGCGCCGTTGCAGCTCCATGCGCAGCCCCAGCATGGCTGGGGTGCTTCAGCGTGGAAGCTATGGCTAAGCCCTGGCTCGCTCCTCGTGCAACTAGGTGTCGTCAGCAGGGCACAGCCATTCTGCAGACAGAAAAAATACCTCCGCCAGCAAGCAACATTACCTACAGATTAACTAACCCATACTCTCATACTGCCCATAGCTTGCTCGATAACTGCTGGCGGCCCTGCCTAAAAAATGGCAAATTAGGAACGCTGCATCTGTGCTCAGGTTTCACCAGATGGCACTGTAGCATGTACATACCCGAAGGCACAGACGCAATTAAAATATAAAGAATTGTGCTGCACATCTAAGATGGCACTTTCTAGCACGTCACTTAAATCCAAGCTCTCCTGTTTGCCCTGTTGTTCCTTAATATGTTCTCTTCCTCTTTCTGTCACATTTAGAAAGAAAAAGCGGTACTTCTGCAGTGCCAAATACGACTTGACTTTCAGCTGTACCTCAGAGTCACCTTCCAACAACAACATAAAAAGATCATCTGCGTTCTCTTTGCTACTGCTGAATTTTGTACAGACCAGGCAGTGAAACTGTGTCAGGATTTCAGGAAACTGAAACAGCAGAAAGAGAATCTGCTCTTAGAAAGATGAACGCTACACACTTTCAGATTGCCCCACGGCATGCGTGTTGAGAGGGGAAGGGCCTTCAAAAGTGTTGCTTTTGGGCTTTGGCAGACCGACAAGAATGTCTCCTTCAGAAACTTGAAGGCACGACATGGTTTTAAGGAAGGGCAACTGCTTATGACTGCTGTGTGTATTACAGTAATACTTAGATGTCCCAGTCAAAACTAAGGTCTCATTACGCTTGGCAGTACATTGACATAAATAAAAATAGAGCATCTGACTTTAAGAGATTATAACCTAACATGACTAATAACACATGACAGGCAGATTGCAGACTTTTATACTGAAAATGTCTGAGGGAGGAAGGTTTCATCCAGAAAAGACTCATAACTTCCCTTCTGCTAGTTTTGCTTCAGTGATTTTTTTTCCTGCTTTGATTTGACAATTTTGATATATTTACTCAATTAGCAAATCGGCAGTCAATTAGTAAATTGGCAACAGCGTTTCAGCGTTGTTTAGGGGACAGAGCACTTGTGTATGGAGAAACAATGTCTGTATAAAATTATTTTTAGGTGAATGCTTACATCCTAGCAAATTAAAACAAAGAGAAAGAGCTAAAAGCAGATAATTGAACTTAATCTCTTAGACCCAGTTGAGGCCACCAGGTTACAGCTCCAGCTGGAGTTTCGCTGACTGCCATATAAACATTAACTGGACTTAAACCTAATGGCAAAGACGTGTGTGCAGGCTGATGAATGGAAAATCGTCTGTCTGAGCGCTGTGCATCCTTCCTTGACTCAGCCTCTAGGTCCCTATGCCCTCCTCCTTCTAAGTTTCCTCCAATACACACACCTGCTTTCACCAAAATACTTCAGTAACAGAACTGCCCGGCCTTTGCAGTGACAGCCAGAAGATGGGTTCTGCATTGCTGGTTAGTCCCTCACAGTGCTCATCCTACCTGCAGAATTCACTACAGACCAAATGGCCGTGCTATTTCATTTTTGTCTTTCAGATTTCAGCTTCAGGGCAATTAAGTGAAAAGGCATCATTTTATTCTTCTCTCCTTCTCCTAAATCAGACCCTCTGAATAATGCTGAGCTAGCACAGAGAATAATCCTATACGACCGCGTACGGGTCAAGCCTAATGGGCTTACCAGATGCTGGAGGGAGGTCTGAAGTGCTGCTGTTTGTCCCTGAAGTGCTTCTGTTTGCGTTCTGGTACTTCATGTTGGTACTGTCTGAAGAGGCATCTTCCATACCGTGATCGCTTGCTAGAGTGCTCTGACCAGCAGAGAGAAAATTCAAGCCACAGGTGCACTGTGCATAGGATCCAGTTTCTGGGGAGGTGGAGGCACTGTCAGCTGCAGCGCAACAGGGTTTGCTCCACTTTCTGGGAGATTCCCTGTATGAAATGCCACACCTCACACAGATCTTTTCTGATTCATAGTTTATTGCAAAACGATCTGTGTCTTTGTTGCCTGTTTCCTTCAGGCAACTGTGAGCACACTGGCAAGATTTCTGGAGAAGTTTGTCTGTGGCAGCGTGTGCCCCATCCGTGTCAGAGGAAGGGTGAGGGCCTTGAGAGATGGATACATCCTCTGTACTCCCAATCCCTGAAAAGTACTGATTTAAGCTGTCATTCTCCCCTGCCTCCATTGGTTCTGAAAATGACGACGCATTTTTACTGGCAGTCCGACTCAGTAAAGATAAATAATCAGTGGTATTGAGATCCTTATCCATGTATTCGTCTTCCGTGGGAACCGTTGGGAAATGGTCATCATCAGTCTCGGTTACCATAGAAAACTCTTGGAGGCTCCCTCCTGCCTCACACGGCGCCATGCCGGGGCTCCCGTTCCTGCAAGGAGCGTGGCTGCTGGTGCAGCATGAGCTTCCAGGGGCAGGAGAGCCAGTGGGGCCCAGGAGACACCCGCCTTCGGAGGTGTGGGGGACAGCGGCATTCGTGGTGTTCACAGCAACAAATGCGTCCCTTGGGGGCTCCTGAAAGAAAGCCGAAAGAACGATGTGTTTAATACAGATAAGCAGAAGGTTATTTTCTAGACAAAGAAGGAGGAGGCGGATCTCAGTTCTTCCTTGGTGTGGAGCTGCCCAGGTTGAGCAGCACCGCTATATTTGAGTGTCGAAGTGTAATTCTGTTCTGCTGTGAAACTGTGACTAGTGATGCTGGGCTCAGCGGGTGTTCAGAAAAAAAACTGGTGGCCTGGGGGGGGGCAATAACATTTGATTCTGGGAGAGGACTATTCCTAGTTCTTAAGAAGGCACATACATCTAGAACAGTCACTGGATTCTGCTGTTCCTTATGAAACATCGATAAGACCTACCCAACTGCTTATAAGGTTTGGAAACCCCCCAAATCATCTGTGTGTCCAAAGGGCTGTTGATTTGTGAAGGCCTTACTGGGAGCAGAATCTTTACTATCAGTAATGATCAAAGAAAAAAACCGGGGTGATTCAGAGGGCCCAAGACAGGCTAGGAAAAAAAAAAAAAAAAAAACCACATGGGCAAGGTTGCTTTAACCTGGAAAATGGTAGGACAAAAAATGCAAAGGCCCATCACGTCACGTTGCCAGTACTTGTCAAAGTAAAGCTGTATTTTTGGTTGCAGCTCCACAAAAAAGGGTTGGGAAATACTTCAAGGGTTCCCTTCAGTTCACGCGAGCGGTGCTGTAATGATGGGTATTTGGGAACTGCTACCTTTCATTTCTAGTGTCTGTTCAGATCTTCCAGGCTGGAGGAGAGAGTGTAAATGCTCCCAGTCACCAACTGCTGTTGATCCACTCCTCTGTCCCAGAGGATCTGAGCAGCTGCCTGTACAGGAGCTTGCACAAACATTTACATGACAAAAGAGGAACTGCCTACTCAAAAAGGTGGGTTTGATTTTGGGGTTTTTTTGTTGTTGTTGCAATGGAATTTGAGTCTTTCAATAGCTAAGCTAGACAGGGCTCCAAGGCGGGGTGGTGGGGAGAGCATGCACCTGGGAGACCTCCATCCACGTCCGTGGGGTGAAGAGGTAAGGGCAAGGGGGCCAAAGAAGGGTAGGAAAAAAAAAAAAAAAAAAGTCACATGGGCAAGGTTGCTTTAACCTGGAAAATGGTAGGACAAAAAATGCAAAGGCCCATCACGTCACGTTGCCAGTACTTGTCAAAGTAAAGCTGTATTTTTGGTTGCAGCTCCACAAAAAAGGGTTGGGAAATACTTCAAGGGTTCCCTTCAGTTCACGCGAGCGGTGCTGTAATGATGGGTATTTGGGAACTGCTACCTTTCATTTCTAGTGTCTGTTCAGATCTTCCAGGCTGGAGGAGAGAGTGTAAATGCTCCCAGTCACCAACTGCTGTTGATCCACTCCTCTGTCCCAGAGGATCTGAGCAGCTGCCTGTACAGGAGCTTGCACAAACATTTACATGACAAAAGAGGAACTGCCTACTCAAAAAGGTGGGTTTGATTTTGGGGTTTTTTTGTTGTTGTTGCAATGGAATTTGAGTCTTTCAATAGCTAAGCTAGACAGGGCTCCAAGGCGGGGTGGTGGGGAGAGCATGCACCTGGGAGACCTCCATCCACGTCCGTGGTGTGAAGCAGTCAGTGCACATGAACTTGAACCTATGCCCCCATCTCAGCGTTTCAAGCATGTAATCTGGGGCTGCTCCAGAGCAAAACCTCTTGGAAAGCCTTAGGTTTTTTACAGCCGAATGGACAAGAGGGATTTCTGTGAGCACTTTAAGTAAGGGGTCTCACTGCCAGGTTCTTCATCTGATGGCTCTGTCCTTAATGCCTTGCATGTCTGGCATTCTTGGCATTGCCCCAAATCCAGGTTTCTCCCTCCCTGGTGAGGACTCTGGTGTGTAAAAAGGTGCAAACTCAACTAAGCTGGTCCTCCTCTTAGGATTTAGAAAGGCTCTCTCCTAGGTAGTCTCAGGTGTTCAGCAACGGGTGGGCTCCTGTTTACCTTTCGTCTTGTAAATATTTAATCATCATCACAGAGACTTTTACCGCTGTTAAAACTGGCTGAAACCAGAGAGCAGGTTCAGAAGCTATTTGAGAATGGTGATTTCATACGCCTCACATTTACAGAAAACCAGACTGAAAAAGCCAAAGCTGCAAGCATTTTTTGGGGAAGTCAAAACTTGCTTTCTAGCCAAACATTAACATGGAGTCTGCTTCAGAAGGGGTTAGTGTCTTTGACTTTACCTTTGTTCCTTTTATTTGGCTGCACACTTCGTTAGCCCAATTCTGTAGATCTGCTGTAGGAAAAACAAAAAGAGTAGCTGTAACATATAGCAGGCACTGAAGTTAACCACAGACCTAAACACCCACAGTCATTCACAATCCGCAATATCATATTAAATGAAAACCAGCGAGACTGTTTTTACTGACTGTTCAAGTGTCCCAGCCTCAGTCTAGCTAGGATTCATTGTAACTGGAACAGGGATATATTTCTGTGGAACAAATGTTTCCAAGCTCCTAAAATAGACCACAGTTAAACTGTGTTCCACATCAAATGGGGTTTCTTTCCTGGTCATATGTCACACCAAGCTATGACTGGCCCGATACCGACCCGCTTGCAGCCGTACGGTCTATTTCAAGAAAAGTCACATGGACGGCCCAAAAACCGTTCTCAGACAGGAGTGAGGAGCCTGGAGAGAAGAGGGTAAGCCACTGAAACCACAGGATGGCTGGCTCAAATACAGCGTATTTCACTTCATCAGGGTGTGCTTAATGGGGAAATTCACTTAATCAGAGTTACCTCCCAAGGAAAAGCTTTAAGTCCAACAATGCTTTATGATAAAGACTGCCACTTAATACAGTGAGCAATTCTAGTTTTCTGTTTATAACTTTCAGGATATTTGGCAGGGCTCAGGTCTCGTACATTTGAAGCTTGTGCTGGGTTTCTATGTCAATCTCTGCAACGTCTGCTGGATCTCTTCTCCCAGGTAACGGGCAATAGGATGAGAGGAAATGGCCTCAAGTTGCACCAGGGGAGGTTTAGATTGGATATTAGGAAAAATTTCTTCACCGAAAGGATTATCGAGCATTGGAACAGGCTGCCCAGGGAAGTGGTCAAGTCCCCATCCCTGGAGGTATTTAAAAGACATCTAGATGTGATGCTTAGGGACATGGTTTAGTGGTGGGATGGCAGGGTTAGGTTAATGGTTGGACTTGATGATCTTAAAGGTCTTTTCCAACC